CATGAAGTTAACTTGCTGTCAGGAATCTTTCCAATATCCCACAAAGAAGACATGATTTTTTTGTTAATTTTTTTAAGCAAACAGTTGAAGTTCCTTCAAGTGTTTTGGAATAGATTCTTCTACATATAGCTCACATTTCTTATTTAGCTGATGATTCTTCTGTTAACATTAACCCATTGTAAAAATAACAGCAATTAAATGTTTTACCACAATCAACACATTACATGACTGGAGTAAAGTTAGCGGCAGGGCAGCTTTTGCCTCTTGAAAGCAGGCAAAAGCCACCCCGCCGCCCCAGCACTATGTTCAACATAAAGGTGGCACACCTCTATGTCGGACATGGCGTCCCGCTTCTATGTTGGACATAGTGCTGGGGCGGCAGGGCGGCTTTTGTCCGCTTGCCTCACCAGCCATAAACCTCACCACACATCACTGTGCTGGTTTATAAGTGCCTGAATTTTAATCATGTGACTGTGGGGATGTTGCAATGGCTGTAAGTGTAAGGACCAGTCGTACATCACTTTTTTTCAGTACTATTGTAACTTTGAACGGTCACTAAACAAATGATTGTTAATCTAAAACTACACATACATATAAGCAATTAGAAAAGGCCCAGATCATAAGGAAAAAGCACACATAAAAAGCCCAACACTGAAACTATAATGTCAGAAAAACAAAATCTCACAAAAATAATCTGCAGAAGAAACAAGAAAATAAATGAATTGGTATTTCAACAGCTCAGTCAAAACAACTAAATGCTTATGGGTAACAATGAAAAGGCAGCACTATCCAAATAATGTTTTAATTCAGTCTTCTCCCTCCACCCCATCCAAAGAATGTGTTTCACCATTCTGAAGGGCAGGATTTAGATTTGGAACCACAGAAAAAGCTGAGTTGCATCCTAGGAAACTAAGGGAGTTCCTAGATATATTTACTTTTATATACTATCTTTAAAATATCCTACAGTACTGGTTAAGTTACCAATAACAAAGTAAATGTTCCTGACTAAAAAAAGAATAAAAAGGAGAATTGAGGTATTTACAAAACAGTTATCATAGAAATAATAGAATCATAGGACTGAAAGGAACCATGGGGGTATAACAGAATAAGAGAGTTGGAAGGGACCTTGGATGTCTTCTAGTCCAATCCCCTGCTCAAGCAAAAACACCTGTTCCATTTCAGACACATATTGTCCAATCTCTTCTTTAAAACCTCCAGTGTTGAAGCATCTGCAATTTCTGAAGGCAAACTGTTCCACCTATTAATTGTTCTAATTGTCAGAAAAATTTTCCTTAGTTCTAGGTTGGTTTGCTCCTTGACTAGTTTCCATCCATTGCTTCTAGTTCTGCATTCAGCTGCATTGAAGAATAAGTTGACCTCTTCTTCTTTGTAGCAACCCATTATATATTGGAACACTGCTATTATGTCACCCCTAGTCCTTCTTTTCTTTGAATTAGACATATCCAAGCAATGTTCTTCATATGTTTCAGCCTCTAGTCCCCCTAATCATCATGTTCTTCTTTGCACTCTTTCTAGAGTCTCAACATCTTTTTTATATTGTGGCAATCAAAACTGGATGCAAACTTGCTAAATCATCATCTCTTCCACATTGGTCCAAATAGCCCAAATTATCATATAGAGAAAAGCTTTACAAACTCTTATTTGCAAGATGACTTCGTATTTTTATGGTGGAATAAAAAACAAATAGACTGAACTTTGTTTTTCCTGGAGTCCTTTCTCTACACCTTAAGATGTTTGTAGCTTAGCTACTTAAATTCTTTCTTGGATTATTTAAGTATAGCTGATTCTCTCTTAAAGTGGACAACTGTCCTATGCAACACAATCACTTTGGGAACAATTACAATAACTAGGATACTGAGAAAACATTTCACATTTAAGTCATGTATAAGGAAAGTATTTTAAGGAAGTATTTTCTTGTAAACAAGAAATATGTTACTTATATTTTATAGTTCAATCCTCTGCTCAAGGCAGGAGTTGTTTTACCATCCTGGGCAAATGGATGTACAATCTTTTTTTAAAAAAAAAACAACCTCCCCCAATGGAGTACCCACAAGCTTTTCCATTGGTTAATTGTTCTCTAACAGTGTTAGTTCTGACAGTGTCTAGGTAGGATCTCTGTTTAATGAGCTTCCACCCATTGATTCTTGTCCCGTCCTCAGGTGCTATGGAGAACAAGTTGTTATGTTACACCATGTTGTTTGTCATGCCATGTCATGTTATTGGATATGATCATTTCTATAATGAGAGTTAATTTGGTTTAGTGTTTAAGACAGGGAGACTGTGAATTCTAGTCCTTGCTTAGGCAGCAAACAAACTGGTGACGTTGAGCCACTTACTTTTCTCAGCCTTACAAAGAAGATGAGGGCAAACTATTTCTAAAACTACTGCCAAGAAATCTGCCTGGACTGTTACAGCCAATTGCCAAGAGTCAAGTGAGTTGAAAGCACTCTCTCACACACAATTTTAATAAAGTATGTAAATGTGATAGATCCAACATACTTTGACATTAGCAAAGCATTTGCTAAAGTACCTCATGACATTCTTAATAAGTCAGTTAAGCATAGATTGGACAGTATGATGTTTAGGAGAATTGGTAATGAATCAACAGTATAACGTATACTTGCTGCTAAAACAAGCAAGTATAATTAAGTCTGAATCATTTCCAAATCACAAGAAGTAATCATTTCACTTTTTCTACTTTGATCAGATCCCACTTTGAGTATTGCATTCAATTCTGGGAACCATACAACAACAAGAATTCAAAGAAACTAGAAGGGCAATAGGGAAGATAAGGGAAATGGAAATAAAAACCTCTGAAAAAGTTGGGCAGAAAAAGTTTGAAGAGACTGAGACTACAACATTCTTCAAATATGTGAGGATGTCACACAAAGAAAGTCAAGGTTGTTTTATTTTATTCCAGAGTGCAGAATAATAGTTACAGAAATGCATATTCCAACTGAATCTTAGAAATATATCATATCATTAAAATTGACTCAGCAGTGAAACGATTAGCTAGAGAGGTAATGGGTTTCTCTTCAGTGGCAATATTCAATGGAAGGCTATTTTGCCACCTGTCAGGGATGCTTTTTAAAAACTTTATTGTGGTCTTAAAACGTAAGCTTTTAAAAAGTCCACTGAAATAAACATTTTTTTTCAGTCTGATGGTTATGTGGGGCAATAATGAGGTTAGCTTAAAGAAACTTAAAGAAACAGCAAAGTGTACCTACCCGCCTCCTTTATATGCTTGTAAACATCATCTGAACCAGCAGAAGAATATGGAATATCATCATGGGCTACAAAATCAATCTAAAAATACAGAATAAAAGGAAATTAAATTGTCCCTTACTTTGGAAACCCAACTTCCTTACTTACTAAACAAATTTTAAATAAAGATATTTTAAATGATTGTAATAGAATTTATATCACTGTAAAGGTAATCCCTGAGTTACAAGCATTTCCTTAGCAAAACATTTGAAGTTACGTGATAAGTGCCCCCTAGCATTTACAAACAACTCCCAAAATTATGTATCTTGCAGCACCATGGCAGTTGTTCGGTCTTACAAATGACGAGACTCTGCAACATTCGCCCTGCCTATTCCCTCCACCCCACCGGGTCTTCAAAGGCACTTTGCCTGTGGAAACTTGCTTACTTTGTCAAGATCTCTTCTCTGTTACACTTTCTTTGCCTGCTTCATTGCTTCAGTCTTTCAGTGCATTTACAGAGAACAGAGGCCTAACATACTTTGAGATCATGCAAGATTAATAGCGTGAGATCTTGTGCTACTGATCTTGTGTGATCTTGCACTTTTAGGCCTCTATTCTCTGAAAATTGTAGCCTGGATGTTTGCAAACGGAGGGAAGACTTCGGTCCCTCAGGCCTTCCCTCCATTTGCCATTTCCTTGCTGAAGCAAGCAGGGAGGTTGCATTCCTGTAGGGTTTGACAAAAAGCTTTTGCTGGCACCAGCAGAGCTTCGGAAGAGTGGGCGCATGCCTCCAAAGTTCTGTTCCTACCTTTTTTAAAAGGGCTGCCGAAGCCTCAAGGAATGCAATCATCAAGCGCTTTGTTGATGAGAATGGAGGCCCAGAGGACCATATGGGACCTTCTAGGGCTCCTTTCTCGCTGGCGATCTGCTTGATGATGCCTCCAGTGACAAAAAAAGGAAGCCCAGAAGACTGTGCAGCCCTCTGGACCTCCTTATTTGTCACCAGGGGCCTCGTCAAGTCCTTTGCTGATGAGAAAGGAGGAAGAAGGTAAAGAAACAAGCTGGAGAGGAGGTAAGGTAAGTTACCCAGTGCGGCAGGCTGGGAGGAAGTAATTGTGGGGGCCACAGGGGAGGGAGAATGTGGTATCTGTGGTTTGGGCGAGGTCTTGGGTGGTCTGAAGTAGGTGGCCTGTTCCATCACTATCCCCCGCACCATGGCCTTCCCCACCCCAAGATACCTTATGTGCACTTAATGAGCCGTACATTCTATTATTGAATGAGTAGGCGAAAGCAGGGAGTGATCTTGTTCAAGGTATGAGATTCACACCCATGAATCCTTGGGTTATGAATGGAATTGGCATACTCCATTCCATTCATTGTCCGAGGCCTACCAGTATAGCACATGAAAGTACAAAACCTTTTTAGTTATATAGTATATGTGATATCAGTTAAAGAATCTAAGCCAGTGATGGCGAATCTTTTCAGCTGAAAAGTGCTGAAAAGGTTACGTGGAAACATAACGTGCACACGAACACGTTCGTCGGGGCTGTACTCCAGGAAAGCCAAACTTCTGGGTTCTAGCATGCATGCGTGCCCAATGATCAGCTGTCTAGCGCTCATGCACAAACCAGTTTTCAGCACTACTGTGCACGTGAAGGACAGCTGATTGTCATGCACACATGCATGCCAGAAACCTGGAAGACAAACAGGCAGGGCTGTTTGTGCCGTGTGACAAGGCTTTGCATGCCACTTTGGGCACGTGTGCTATAGGTTTGCCATCATGGATCTAAGCTATTTACAATTATATTAAGTACTACATCAGTAATACAAAATAGACACTTTGATGAAACCTAAAGAATCATGCTAAAGAAAAAACTTATCTCAGAATATTTTAATGACATTTTTACTATTATGTTTCTTAATATTACAACTTAATAAAGTTATTCCAAATAAGTGGAAGACCAGTCATAGCTAATTATATACTTTGTATATTATTGAGAAATGGATGACATAAACTTGTAATAGGAAGTGAAGGGTAGCTAACCTTACAATTTAATGAACCAGTATGATTTTTCATGGTTCTATGCTTGCTTATCAATAAAGTTATTAACAGTTTCATCCAAAATATGTAAGTAACTTGTATATACAGCTTATACACCTTTTGGAGAAAATTCAGTTTTCTGCAACTGTATTGTTAATTTGGTTACTAGGCGCTCTGGTTGTGTAGTGGTTAAGTGCAGCGTTGCAGGCAAACTCTGTCCATAGTCTGGAGTTCAATCCTGATAGAGCTTAAGGTTGATTCAGCTTTCCATCCTTCTGAGGTCAGTAAAAGAGGACCCAGATTGTTGGGGGCAATGTGCACATAATGCTTACATTGTAAACCACCAAGAGAGCACGGTAAAGTGCTATTGGGTGGTGTATAAGCCTAAATGCTACACTCTTTTGGACATTTGGGGGTTTGGAATGCTACAAGAAAGGCCTATTAAAGTAACAGATAAATGGACGGAAAGAAGATTTCATACAGGATTTTAATCCAGTTGCACTAGCATTGTTATTATTGAAATGGAGTTGATGTTTGAAAATATATTTTCCCTTTTATTATAGTTGCATCAAAAGTTCTTCTTTTTCACTTCCCCAATTCTAATTATATTTTCTAAAATTCTGAATGCATAGCATCTAAAAGAAGACAAGAAAAGGAAAGGAGATTTTTCAATTTTGCTACCATCACAGCTAAAAGCAAAAAGAAATAATTATTACCACTTCCGAATTATAACCTGAACTGCAGAACTAATATACTAGGGATGGTGGCAAAGGACATCTCAGTTTAGAGTCCAACTTCATGCTATATAAACATGCTTTATAAACATGACATATATGTAGTATTTGGCACCATCGCTAGAATGAGACTAGCTTATGGAAGAGAGGTTAAAAAAAAAGAAAGAAAAATACCTTATGCTTTTCCAAAAACTCTGCTGTGAGTGTCCATGGAGCATCTCTGATTACTTCATCTACATAGCGGCAGTGTCTGAGGGCCTCATAACGTTCTTCTTCATTCATTACAGTGAAACCTTTAAACTTATGTGTTAGATCATCACTGCAAACTGACATACATGCAAGAAGATTTCAAAAAGAGTAACAACTCTGGCCCTGTAAAATTCAGTGCATCTCTTTGGCTATAAATTATTCAAATCTATTTTCAGAGTTTAAGCCAGTAGTTGTTATACCAAGTAAAAATGTAGCAATCTAAAACAGGAAAACAATTTTCAGTCCCTTGATCACATTTAGTTAATTGAAAACTTGCTTATATTGGATGGGCATTACATTAAAAGCTATCCTATGTTGCATAGCTGATTTGTTGGGCAGAAAAATTGCTAGGTGAGCTTTTTTCAGATGCAAGTACCAAAGGTTTTCAATTGTGGAATGGTGAATCTTTTCTTGCAGTTCTCTTTGCAGTACTAGCTGGACAGACTGAGATTTGTCTCAAGACACAGAGATAGCAATGAAATTGAGAGAAGCTAGCATGGCTATTGTTTTATATCAGCATTTCCACATTCTTCATGGCATTTTTTTCTGGATATTACTATTGTTCTGATTTTTTATGGAAAAATCAATATCAGTCATAGGGACATGTTGTTCAATAGCCTTTTCTTAATACAAACAAATGGAAAAAGCAATTATATTTCAGTATACAAATTTAGGTGAAATGACATTCAATAGGCTCCATTCCACATTTGTATTTTTAATATTAGAAAAAGAAGAATCCAGAACTGATCTTGATCATATATAATATTAAATTTATTTATTTCTTATCTCAGTTCATAGGTTCTACAAGTCTTAGGCAACAAGTGAGCTTTATAAACAGAACAAAGATCTTCTGGATCAGAGAAAAATTACTTTATTAATTGACAAACTGTTTATGTGATATTTGCAAGCACTTTAGTTCTTTCCTACTATTTCTTAGGAAAAGGTTACAAAATCTTACTTTTCAGTAAATTAAAATTAGAAAACTCACAGAATCTGGGCTTGTCAAATAGAATATCAGTCTAAAAGTAATCTTTGTTCAAATATCAGGCTTACCTCCTACTAATAAGTAGCTATTAGGAAACAGAGTTTTGGCTTGCATGAGAGCTCTTGCATGACCAGAATGGAAGAGATCAAATATTCCATCTGCATAGACTCTGACAGGTCTATCCACTATGAAAATAAGAAACAATTTCCATGTTAAACCAGATATTTATCTCAAATCTAGTCAGATTATAATGGTACATTTGCTACATCTATTCAGAAATACAAGGGAGAGATTTAGGCAGGGTTGAGCCACTTAGCCCAATTAAAAAAGGCCATATTACAAAATTTTCATTAAATAAAAACAAAAACAAAAAAACAGTGACTGGCTGGTCTTGGCTGGGCTCAAAAGCTAACGAGAGTCAGGCCCGGGTTGCTACTTGGATAGAAGATCACCAAGAAATTCCATGGCCCTAGATCAAATTGGGAATTTAATTTGCATCCCAGAAGAAAAGATTGCTCCATTGCTCTGTTTCATAGAGTTTGTACAATATTATCACTAGAAGGTGAATTTAGCTCTAAGAGATTTTCCTTAATGAAGACATAAATTACCAGATGAAAGAATGTTTATGAATGATATTTATATAATTGGGTTGCTTCTATATAGCAGAACTAAACAGAAAGCACTCTAATAAAATGAGAAACATGCACACATTTGTAACTCAAATGTTTCTTTCTTGGTCCGTTTTCATCTATATACTACTAAAACTCTCTTTCCAGTAACCTTCAACTGGTGATATGGTGCACCACAGGACAAACCTTTTTGAACCAAAGTATGTCAAATGGGATAACTTACAGAATGTGCCCAAAATCTGGAACCCATGACTTCCATGCGGTTCAAATTTGGCAAATTTTATACAACATTTTATGACACAAAAATTATCTCAGGTTTTGTAATTTTAACAATTGAGGCATTGAGGAAACTGATAAGGAAATATCTTTGAAAAGATGATCCAAGGGATCATAGATTGTCTTGTTCCCCTTAAAAGAGAGCTGAATTTGTTATGGGACAGGATTGTGAGGGCGGCAAACTAATCTGGCTAATTGTGTGTAGAATACAGTCCTCTGTCATCTCCAAAAGGGAAGAGTGAGCAGGAGACCCAGAAGGAATAGCAGAGCTATTACTGTTACCCCTGCCGAACCCAACATCTGTTTCTGAGGTGTTTCAATCTGCATATTGACAGAGCTGCTTTTAAATATGTTCAGATGTTTAATTTATTTATTTATTTTGTATGGCTGTCAAAACTGTAAATAACAACTCTAGGTGGCTAACATAGGATTAAAAACAAAACAAACAATAAAAATAAAGTTAGAAGGTCACAGAATGTGATCTCAGATCCCAGGACTCTGCAACAGTCATAAATATGAACCAGTTGCCAAGCATCCAAATTTTGATGAAGTGATCATGATGCTGCTGCAATGGTTGTAAGTGTGAAAAATGATCAGTCACCTTTTTAATGTCACTGTAACTTTGAACAGTCACTAAAACATTGTATGGCAAGGACTACCTGTACTTTATTCCAGTTTTCCCAACTGGTATGCCTTAGATGGGGGAAGAGTGCTTTAGATTGGGACTACAAAGGCCAGTCTGCTGGGAAGTCGAGGCACTGGACTAATGTAGTTGAAATCCATTAATTCTGAAATTAATTTAAAATGCAGACTCACCTGGTGTTCCAAGATGGGCCTGAGCAATGGTTAGCTTCTCATGAGGAGCTTTGCATTGACAGCTTGTTTCACCTGCAAATGGAACCGGTGCTGTCAAAGTCTAGAAGACGGGAAAGGTCAGATTATGAAAAAAGAGAGCAAAATAAATTGTCAGTTGTGGAAGTTATCACATACGAGTTTATTGCTCCTTGCTTCCACCAATATTACTTGATAAGGATTTTTTTTAAAAAAGTTAAATCTTAAGGAGAGTGATATAACTTTATAATATCCTTCAAGTTTGTTTTCTTCCAGTGAAATATTTTAGAAGTGGACACAGGGATGTACATATTTCAACTACCTATTGATTTGAAGTGGTACTCTCACTGCTGTTTATTCAAATTTCTAAGAAATTTTAATTTGAAATATCTATAATTTCCCCCATTAAATAGATTGCATTAACACATCCATACATAGTATACATAGTATCAGCTGGTATCAGAAAAAGTTTAATTAAGAAGTCAAATAGAGGTTATTTCCACTAATAATAAAGAAGCAAATTGTTGTGCAAATCATCTCTCTTCTTTTGGCTTATGTCGTATTAAACAAAGCATAGAAAAAAATTTAAAAAGTGATGTTTGGAGTTTCTCATGGTCAGCTCTCATGTGAAATTAACATTGCAGATTCAACAGTTCTGGAAAGCTGGGAAAAAACTTGAAACATTCAATTTCAATTTCAACATCCTTATTATAATGGCTGATATGTGTGTGTAGGGTAATCAATAAAGCTTTCTGGGCCCAAAGATAAACCTCTAAATGGAGCCCTCCATTGATGAGACAATGCAAATACAGACCCACTTTGGCTGCAACAGATAAAGATAGCAGGAGAAAGAAAATAGGGCAGTCACATAAGGAATTCTTTACTGCCATTGCAACAATGGGCCTGAACCTCAAAAGGTTTTCCCTCAGTTCTTCAGTCACCATAAAATATCCTTTCCTCCTTCTATTTTACCTTCTGCATTCAGACTCTAACCTTTCCCCTTTAGAGCTCTTCCTCTAATATGACCTAGTCACTGTTTTCTTCTGCCATATCTTCATGACTTTGCTCTGATTCATACCCAGCCCACATATGAGGTTGGGATGAAGAATCATCCATAGGTATTAATTTAAAGGTGGTTTTCCCTTCTTGTATCCATGGATTACAATTTGGCCTACTTCTCCAATGAATGTCAATACTGATGCTATCGAGATGGGAATTGCCCAACTTTCCAATTAGCTGTTTTAGGTTACTGTGAATACTCCCTTTCTATGGATCACTGAGAACTGCCCTCCAAGACCACTTTGTCTAAGGCTGGAGGAGAATGCCTAACCAGCCTTGTTCATAATGTTTGTCAGATCTTTCATAGGTCCTTAAAGATATAGATTTTGTATTTTTTTCTCAAGAGTGTTAAGACTGCAGGATATCATGTAATCTACTAACAGCAATTACATTCTGTTCTTTTACCTTTATATTTACTTTGGGGAGTAATTTTATGCCCCCCCATCTTCTCCCCCCTTCACCCATCCATTCCAATTTAAATCCTACACCAGTTAATCCACTCCATTGCACTGATAAAGAGAATTATAGCTCACAAAAGCTTATACCTTTTAATAAAAATTATTAGACTAAAATAGTATTACCAAACTCCTTTGTTTTTTGAACTACCACAGGTCTCAATTAGAGAGGACATTATTTTTAGGGATAGTACAATTTCAGAATAGGATATGGAAAAAAATCGATGATATAATGATCTCTGCCATTGGAATATATTTCATGTTCCCTGTGAAATCACTTCCGTTCCAGCAAATTTTAGAGAAGGGTATTAATTTTTGGTTACAAAGAAGTCACATTACATGGTTAGCTCTCAACTTATATAATGTTGGATGTAGGATATTGGACCTAGACAGAAATAAATGAGACATCTTTTGACAATGATGAAATGGAATGGAATGAAATTGAGTGCTAAACTGCCTTTTTGTTTCTAACTAAGGCTAAGTTATACAACAACCAATGTTGTATAAAAAACAGATCCAAATGCTAATCCAAGTATTCTACAGGGCATTCTACTACCTAGCTTCATAAAACTACTTATGCTGGCCTTTTTCTATTAAGGGCGACACTTCACAGATCATTTCTACAAAATTTACCAATGTAGTGCCTCTTGGCATAGATTATGTTGTGTAATTTGTGCAGTAACTACTATTAGACTGTTGCATGTGTTTAAATGTACAGTAAGTTTTTAAAATGTCATGAAAGCCAGCACCATTAGGTTTAAAAAGAATAGAATAGAATAGAATAGAATAGAATAGAATAGAATAGAATAGAACAGAACAGAACAGAATTCTTTATTGGCCAAGTGTGATTGAACTCACAAGGAATTTGTCTCTGGTGCATAAGCTCTCAGTGTTCTTACAAGCAACAAGTGATAAATCATGATCATAATCATAAAACACCATCATAAATGAGACACAACACTCAGTGATAGTCATAGGATACAAAATAATACTAAAATAAATCATAATAGGATATAGTGGAAGAGATATCTACTCTCTGAAGCTACATGGGTCAAGAGCTGGGATGTGAAGGTGGATAGGTTGGCTAACAGTTCCATGAGAAGTACCCCATAAACCATAGGAACCTCCAGTGCAGGGAAGAGGAGGTTAGTCAATATTTCAATTAACCTCTCTGTTTTCTTTTCTTTCCTTCCAGGAACTCATTTTCAATTAAGGGGAGCTGCCTGTTAACCCTGAAGCTGGCCTGACTGAGGCCATTTTGAGTCGGTGTCGACGCCGTGAAGGGCGGAAGGAAACATGGTGGCCACTGGATACCTAAGGAGTTCTGATTCAGGGGGGCTATGCCTCCAGAGGTTTGGGACTCATGAAAAAGGCACCACGGGAAATGGGTGCAGGTCATCTTGTGGACACCTTATTCCAACTGCATCCAGACCATCGGAACCTGGGGAAAGGGCCCTGCGGTGGGGGATAGTGTTGTGACTCAGCAGCAGTCTTCTGTGAGTCTTTTCAGGATGCAAGATTAATTATGCAGTTGGGGCTCGTTA